ACATGATCATCCTAATATCTCAAAATGTAATACTAGGACTAAATGTAAAAAAAATATATTCACATAAAAAATACCAATGATGCATGATTTCGTCTAAAAACCCTAGCTATTCCTTTCTGTTTAGTCCATCTTGATGAAGGACGTTATGTAAGTTCCTTTATCAAAAATCTTTCTTAAACCTCCCGCATGGTACCATTATAGTGACTGTTCTGTTCAATCAATAGAACTTTCATGTTGTTGAAGTTTTCGATTGATTGATTGTTGGTTGCTTAACGTCCAGTGGTAAATATTACATGCATGTTCAGGACGATTGAAATCTTCGAGGTTGTGGTACGACTGTCTAAAGTATTGTTTCAATGTGGAGATGTCTGCTTTGTGACAATTTTTTCTATGCCCATTGAGACTAAGCTAATTTTTTTTTACGAAACCTATCATGTCGCATTTTTTTGCAAAAATAGAAGGTAAATTAAGGCATAAGTTATATACTGATGTTCAAATCTCATCAATCAATTTAGAAGAAAAAATCAAGGTAACAAACCAAAACTGCGGGAATTTCATGAACTAATAGACCGAGATCGTGTGCGTCGACAGAGTACGCCAATGCAAATCCACCTTCAATCTGAGCTTCAATCAAAATGACACAATCGGGAAAAGTGCACAGTCGGAAAATGGGGAGTTGAAATCATCAAATTTGTCATAGATTCTAGTTTGAATTCAGTAAAAACTGACTAACATAGATCAAAGTAAACAGATGACCTTCAATGGTTGTCACTTGCGTCATCAAGGATAGTAGCGTATGCTTTGTCAGCTTCACCAATCATTTGATCTCGAATTCATATGTAATAGCTATTGTCAAATCCAGGAGCGTTACAGAGCCGGTATTAATGTCTAATAGGCGTATATGTCGAAATCATTTTCACTGATTCACTTTCTGTAGAGACTATTCGTCTATTTAGAGATTTTTTTCAGTCATAAATATACAAAACAAAATCAGTTGAATTCTTAAATTCCAGTTAAAATCAATATGTTCGAGTTGTTTGAATAATCTAACACCATCCATTTTCTTTACCTTATAAACAAAACATCAATCTATAATCAGCCGACATGTTTTTATTCCAAATAAAAAAACTGCAATAATTTGCAGTTGTATATTCTCATTGAAATGATTTTCAGATGAAATTTTACAATTACGGCTTGATATATTCAATACATTACAACAATCTCGGCTGTCCATATATCGATTTTAATAACATCAAACCACGTGATTATGTTGCCAGACGACATTAGATTTTCTTGCGGGTTGATGCTGTTGTTATTGATCGCCTGTTTGTTAACATTTTAGAATTGAATCAGTTGTTATGTAATTTAAATTTCATTCCTTCTGCATCATGGTGGTACCTGTGTTTCTGGTTCTTGTATTCTGTTTTTCGACATTAACAGAGACAGTAAGGGTAAGACATTTTTTTCATTATTCTAAAAAAACAGTTTATTGAGTATTGCGTCGTCATTGGATTGACTAATTTTTCCGTTTTTTTTTATGAATACTATGTCTGTTCAGAAAAAGGAAAGTTACTGCAATTGACTACATTTATTTCAAATCTTGTAAATATGGATACATAATAAAGGGCACACATGCAAACGTTAATGTTTAAACTATTTAATTAATGAGGTGATTTTGGCATAATTCGAGGTTGCAAAATATCTTTTAAATGTCAGTTCGATTGTTGTAAACTGCCTTTTAACATAGAATAAACAGCAGCATAATGCAATGATGTAAGAGGGGAAACGGGATACAGAGAGGGTAAATTAAAACGAGATTCAAACCAAATCCAAGTAATTGATTAGAATTTGGCAATCCAGTCATGCAAAACAACAACGAGACGACTGATATGTTTTTATCCAGACTATTATAGTATATGTTACGACACCAATGTTTTGGAAAGCTTTGTTAACATACAGTATTTCAAAGGGATTGATTTTTCTTTAGATCTATCTCCTGTAGTCTAAACTATGCTAATGTCATTGAATCAGTTGCTTTATTACTTTAAATAAGTTTTGTATTTATGTTTTTTAGAGTCATACAATCACCAAAAGAGAAGCAGAAAAACCTTCAGAACTACAACTTGAAAATGAATTAAGAAGGGTTAAGAGACTGAAGGATACAGATGCAGTGCTTCCCAGAGTAAAGCGTATGCAAAGAGACGAACACTCTGAACGTGAATTGTCGAGAATTAAGCGTTTAAAACGCTCATTAAAACCTGGTTTATCACGTGTAAAACGGACAAAAAGAGCCAGTGAACTAGTTTTACCAGAACTCTCAAGAGCAAAACGTTTTAAAGATCTTGAGGTGGACTCTTTTATGCTCTCTCGTGTCAAAAGATTAAAACGGTCCCCATATAAAACTTTGACAGTCGATCATTACGAACCGAGCTTGTCTAGAATGAAGCGTTCTCAAAGATCGGTTGAATTTTCATTACATGCAAAGGATCTTTCAAGAGTAAAACGTTTTCATGATCCGAATACAATTGAACTTTCCCTAGTCAAGCGATTGAAACGATCTGAAAGGGTAAAACGAATACCTTCGAACGTTCACAAAATTAAGAGAAATAGAAATAAAAATTTGAATTACCTTAAAGGAACACAGAAAAGGCATTTTAAAGCACTTCATGGACATTTAGATAGAAATATTGATTTGAAGACCGCGAAACAGGAGTTATCTCGCCAGTCGGGTGCCTTAAACCGAAAGAGGGAAAAGAACAGAGCCAATGAAACATTAAAACAACGACTGGAAAAGAGAATGCGTAATAAACATAAAAGAAGAATGAAACATAAGAACCTGAGAGCGAAGAAGCACCATATTCAAAGTCATAGACTGAACAAAAAAAATATAAATTAAAACCATGTGTTAATTCTGCAGCGTTGTGTAAATAAATATAGGAGATCGTGTCAAAGAATCTGTCTGTGCTAGTGAGGGTCAGTGCGAAAATGCTAGATCAGAAAAAAAACATACAGAACAGATACACTATGTACATAATTATTATTATTTTAAAAATCCGAAAAAGAAACAATTTTTAGTGGAGTTTTATGTACAAAAAGTTTTCAGTTTTTCATTAAAATTTTGGAAAAAAATACTGATTTTCAGCAGTTTGATTTTGTATCAAAGCATACTCATATGAACTGATTAATTTGTAGCTGTTTGTGTTAAATTTGACTATGTTTTTATATACAAAAATTGGAAAATTGATCCTATTATCTTTACTATTATTTCACTTCAACATATGGTATATTTGTTAGTATAGTTACCCCTTTGGCATTCAAATGATATGTAATTACATTTTCACTGATGTCAATGTGATAATTGACTTCAACATACACATACTACTACTTTAATGCTTTGTTTTGCTATGGTCAATGGTGAAAAAAGGTAGACAATTTTAATACCAGATTATATATTATATTGGAAGTATTTTTTTCTTAATTTATCAAGATTTCTATTACAAGATATGTAAAGATATGCATCGTCCTCGAAGTTATTAGTACTGGAAAGAAATTGAATTTATAATAAGAACGTGTATCAAGTATACCATTATTTAATGCTTGGCCAGATGTAAATCACGACGGGCTTCAAAGAACACAGTTTAAACGTTATTCATTGGTTCACAGAAAATAAATCCAAAAGATATCAAGAGGACAATCATGTCAAAGAAAAACTTACACCACTATTGTCAAAAAAGAAAAACGTCCGTGGGTGCTCCGAAACGATAGGAAGGTCCGGCACCGCCAGTGGCACCCTACGTCATTATAATCGAGGAATGAGCAAACGATTTTGGCTACGACAATTGGAGCATATCCATGATAATCTGTGACACAGATACTTCACAATGGTTAAGTTAATACCTAAGTACTTAAATATCTCTATGGCAGTTGTGATTTTCACAAATTGTTTTTTCTGTTCCTTTGCCTTCAGAGTAAGCTGCTAATTTTAATTGATGCTCAGAATAAATATATATAAATTTACATTATCAAGATTTGGGTAAACTTTTATGTGATTCTTGTGTCTTCCGTGATTTTCGTTTATGCTTGATTCAATACAGAAGGATGAGTTATAAGATAGCCCAATGCCCATGATGCCTGTAATTTACTCGATCCACAATAGATATTAAAAGTACTAGGTTCAGATGTTGTTTATATGCATATAGTATATTATTTTTTTTTACACTGCACAGCATTTTTGTATATAAGCAAAATATGTTTCATAGTCTCTGTTATAATGAAAATGTATCCACATGTCCCTACTAAAGGAGACTTAGAGCTTAACATAAGGTGTAGACTGGTGCAACAACAAATACTACTTTTTCACCTGATGTTTTGGTGTTGTTTGTTTGTTTGTGTGTTTTCTTTTTGAATGGTTCTCTTGTTGCTCAATCATTAAATATCTGTTAAGTGTTGTGTGAAATGGCAGTTTTTTGCCTTTTCAACTTTTAAATTTGGGCCATGTCGTTGTTTGCCGTTTTTTAAATTCGATTTTGTTTACCACCTTGAACTAATGTTATTGGCTGAACGTTATCTTTTTTTTTTAAAGATGCACGTATGTTAGAACATGAACAATATATCTGATGAGCCAGACTGCGTGATCGACATACTTCTAAGGTCTGCTAAAACATAAACTATTGACTCTATTTGATTTTGTATCTGGTTACGTATGTCTACATTGTTATCACATTTCATCGATCAATCGCACACAATTCTAGAACGGAATTGTCTGCAATCAAAAGTTACCTGTTATATTTATTGATCTTTCTTTTCAGCGGTCTGATTTTTCTACATTGTTTGTTTCCAACATTATTTTTGGTAGGAAATAATCATCGGAAAACTCAACTCATCTTTATATAATAATATATACGAGGGACTTAGATTTTTTTTTATTATTTAACCTTAATTTTGGAAACAATAAACCTTATATAGTTATGCAAGCTAAGTGGTCTATGGAATCTTTTTACCTAGTTTAAATCCTGTCACGTGACGTTTGCCAGGTGAATGGACATATAAACAAGATGAAGCGCTTGCTTTAAAACATGACTGCTTCCTTATTCGGGTGGCATGGGTAGAAAATGGCTACAGATTTAAAAATTATTAGTTTATAAACTTGAATATGTCAAATACAAAACCTGGACTTAAAGGAGGCGTAAGTTATTTTTAATTAAGTAATTTGTTATATTACCTTTATGCAACTGAATTAGCTATCATATGAGATCTGTAGATAGTTAAATTGTATACAAAACGTTAAAGTACATTTATGAATTAAGGTAAAAAATAACAACAAAGTATATACATTCCATTGATTAAATTTAATATCAGGTACATATTTTGTTAAAGAAAACGACATGTATTGTAAACATGGACTAAAATATGTCAATCTTCATGGATCAGTGGATAATGTGGTTTGTCATAGGAAAAACCTTTAAACACGGATACATATAATAACTAAAACCTGATTTTATGAGTTATTAATAAAAGAATTGTCCATTTTTTTTTAATTACGCAATATCATTTGTTCATACATTAAACATATATTTCTTTGTAAACCATGCTGTTGTATATTCACGTCGTGATATAGCAGTTTCGGGCTGACTGGCGTTATGAAATAATCAACCAATTAAGCAATCAATCAAAAATTGGCATACCGTTTTCTAGAATTTGCAAGATTCTATCTGTTTGAGAATGTATATTAGGAGGTTTTGTCAATAATTCAATATAAATGAAGAACTTCCTGGTTCAAAACGAGATACAATTGAGCCATCATATTTAAGAGTTCTGTCGTTCAAAACTTAAAAAAAGAGTCTGTACAAAAAGTAAAGACTAATTTCCAGCTATTATTTTCCTCGAAGAACCGTCCAAAAATAAAATAAAAGTAAAAAAGTCCACTATAAATTAGTGTATGGCAAGGGGTATAATGCAAGGAAAACTAATATGTATGTAACTTTTACCGCTATAGAGACGAGACTTGTGTCTGGTCTCTTTGTCCTTGCTTTGAACAGTAACTATGTTTGAACTACCAGGGATACTTCCATATTTGATTTCATGGACCGTTCATTTGGCATAAGAAATAAACCAATCAAACAGTTAGTCGATATGGGCATAAAATGAAACTGAAAGTTTGTTTAAACTCACTCTTTCGGGTATCATGATATCCAGCGAATACTATGTTCAATGATTGTTTTGTCTTCTCTTGGCGTTTTGTTATAAACTTAGTTTTATGATTACTCAGGCCAGACGAGACTATTATGATTCAGAGGAAAGTTCTGTAGACAGCAAACAAATAAGAATTTCCCGGGACTCTGGCATCTACGATGACAAAAGGGGATATTCCAGGACACCTTCTACGGTAAGTTTGTATCTCTGATGCTTTTATGAAATCATTGAACCACTTTTTGGAGATTATGTCGACGCACTCATTTGCAGTTTGAAATACGACTAGAAATTATTTTCTGTTCTGTATTTTTATGTTGTGGTCAAATGTATTCGATTATACATGACGTGGCTGCCTAAAATTTACTTGGAAGAACAACGGCCGATATTAGAGTGTAATAAAACAGCAAATCTGAATAGAGCCAGACTTTATGGCACCAAATATTTTATAAAACAAATCAAAAGTTCAATTGAAGTAAAATTATCGCGAGACGCATTCAGATAGATGGACACACTAATGAATTGATTATCAGACATGCCACGCTTTATCCTTGCATCAATTATTCATTCGTATAAAAACAAGCCTATATGCATTTTATTTTTTGTCATGTCTTTCTTGATACTAGTTCGTATAGAATTCTTAATTACACTCTTAACTCAATCATTTAACATGCCATTAGAAGATTATAATAGATATAAATGATCTATTTAAACAGGGTACAGGGGTTACAGTGGAAACAACAGACAGCAAAAAGCTGATATTCGGAAAAGATGAAAATGAAGATCGTGGAAACTGGTCAGGAAGATTTGATTTCCTTCTCTCACTTCTTGGATATGCTGTCGGCCTTGGAAATGTGTGGCGTTTTCCTTACTTGTGCTACAGGAACGGGGGTGGTGCCTTTCTTATTCCGTTTGTTTTGATGATGGGATTGATCGGTGTTCCCCTTTTCTTTATGGAGGCATCTCTTGGTCAGTTCTGTAGCAGTGGACCAATGACATGCTGGAAGTTTGCACCTATGTTTAAAGGTGTTGGAATTGCGATGGTATTGGTCTCTGGTTTTACATCATTATACTACAACATGATCTTAGCTTGGTCGTATTACTATCTGTTTGTTTCATTCACGAGTGATCTACCCTGGGCTGACTGTAATAATCCAGAGTGGAATACTGAATGTAAGTTTTACCCGATAACACAATTTCTCGACTCAGCGAATCGAAATGTATATCATTTTTCCATTTGCCGGTGTTATCCTTAAAGTGAGCATTAAGCATAACCCCTTCCTTTCCAAATTGATAATTTCATTGAAATATTATTAGAATTTTAGTACGTTTTGATATTTTAAATATTCTGTTTTATCATTAAAGATAATAATAATAATAATCATGAATAATAATAATAATAATAATAATAATAATAATAATACTTACTTGAGAAATAGCAAACCCTGAACATACACATTTTACATTGTATAACAATAAGCTTTTTGTACACAAATCCTGCAAAGTTGAACACGCTGACTTTGTAAAAAAAATTTAAGTATTGTTGCAAAATATGAACTATTTATTTTTCTTTATTTGGGAGTGTATCAAGTTTCCGCAACTTGTAAGGGAATTTCAATAAACCGTAGAGTGAATCATCATAACAATACTTCCTTTTGTACTTCTTGGAATTATGTTTTTAGTTGCATTCAAGTCTGGAAGATTATCAAATTATTTTTGACATTACGTGTCTCTTGAAAAAAGGTTATTTTGTAATCTAAACTATTGAAAAATATAAGAAAACATACTTGCTTCAAACAATTTTAACACAAATCCAATCTTCACGAACGTTTGGGAATAATTTGTGGTGAAGGAATTTTAGATTGGTTATACGATGGAAAAGAATTAAAACGAATAGTAACTTTAAGGAAGGCTACAATATATGGGATAAACGAAAGACCTATTTTATCCATTACATACAAAAGAATCGTTTCATTGAAGCGCAATGCAGTTTTGTATCAGTTGACGATCAATTTTTAAAACATTGTAAGACAAGTCTCATTTATATAATTTGGGAAATAAATGAAATCAGATGGAAAAGAACACTTCTTACTGATTAATTTAGAAAATACCATATTAAATTTAATTTGTAAAGGCTATGAACTATATACAATAATTGTTTTAATTCATTTTTTGCACTATTTATACATGCACAAGATAAAAAAAAAAATACATGAAATCATATTACGCTCATATATTTAATTATTTTGTGCTACTTATTTAATAATTTCGTGCCACTGTTTTATGTTTTAGACTAAGACATTGACTTATTTGTCTAAATACGGTTTAAAAAGTTTATAAGTTAATTTTGATGAAAAATGAATATTTTCTGCTTTAAATTCAATATTATACTTTCAATAAATTTTATTCTGTTCAGAGCATGTTGAGCTTCTTCTTATGTTCCTCCCTAGCACATTTATGATTTGTCTTTTATTAATAACCACCTTAATCTCATGGTAGCTTGCTCAAACCAAAGATTAATTCAAATTTGGACTTGTTGTCGCTTTACCAGGTTATTGGCATTCAGGTTTTGAACACAGACTGGTTGTCTCAGAGCGGGAACTATATGTATGAGTAGGGCAATACTTTTTCCAAATCAGTGTATTTTAGATATATTGATGATGTTCTTTCCATTAACAATCCAAACTTTTCTGATTGGGTTCCATCAATATATCCTCTAGAACTAGACATTAAAGAAACAACAGACTCGGCTTCCTTCGCCTCATTTTCAGACTTATACCTCGAATTTGACATGAGCGGTCATCTAAGTTCCAGAATCTATGACAAACGAGACGATTTTAATTTTGAAATTATCAATTTCCCCCACCTTAGTAGCAATATACCAACTTCACCTGCATATGGGATATACAGTTCCCAACTCATTCGGTATTCAAGATCTTGCAGTTGCTACCCAAACTTTATAAAACGTCACCAGTGTCTGAGCAGAAAGTTGATGAACCAGGGTAATGTCAAAGAACGTTTCGTCCTTTTTTTTAAAAGTTCATCGGAAGATACCAAGACCTTGTTGATAAATATTCTGTATCAACTTCACAAATAACACATGATGGTCTTGAAGTATAGATTCTATGTACTGACGTTGTTTATCATCTTAATTACGTGTTAAAGTGTTCTTTTATTTGTCTTTGTAAATTATTAACCTTTACTGTTTAGTCCATTTTTGGTAATATCCTTTTGGCGTGGCTCGGTAATTATGCATCCCGCCAATGTGTATTTGTGCTGTGGTCAATTTTTGTATTCTTGTCTTTCATTTTTGCTTATGTGCTATTTCTATATGCCATTTTGTTTTTCTTTGTTGACATATTTTTTTGTTTTTATAGAGATTAAGATAATAACACAATGTTGACTGCTGTACCCCTATTTTTGACATTTTTACCTATTATTTCTTTTTGTTTTGTTCACACATTGTTGTCAATATAATGGAATTTTATGCGACTGTCCTACAAGTGAGAGGTCTAGCTAGCTATAAAACCAGGTTTAATCCACCATTTTCTACATAAGGAAATACCTGTACCAAGTCAGGAATATGACAGTTGTTTTCCATTCGTTTGGTGTGTTTGAGCTTTTGATTTTGCCACTTTATAAGGGACTTTCCGATTTGAATTTTCCTTGGAGTTCGGTATTTTTGTTATTTTACTTTTTAATATCTCATTAATATGTTATCGTCATGACTATGCATGTAATATTTGCCGCTGGACGTAAAGCTGCAATCAATTAATCTGTTATTGACTAGACGTATCTTATGTGATATCAGACGAATCGTGAGTTCTGGAATTGCTGTAGTGAGAATATTTGATATCCTTTAAAGGTCTCTGATGGACATGCATATCTGATCGAAGAGGTAATAGTGCTCTGTGAATAAATACACAACTCTATTTTTACATAATTAAATAAAATAACTCTAAATTATGGTAAATAAACAACGATATTGGTTTATTACATTACAAGTATAAACCATAAGTTTAAATGTGTCTCACATTCGCATGTAAATTTCACCACTATATTATAGTTTGTGCTGATAAACTTCCTCTGGTCGACTGTGCTACTAGAACAAAGTATCAGAATGGAACATGTTACAATGGGGACAAATTCATCGGATTGTGGAATGATACCATGTTTACAGAAGTTACCGGACATAAAAGGGTATCAGCAGCTGAAGAGTACTGGACGTTAGTATAATTATCTATATGGATTACATGTATATTAGTAATCTATTCGCTACCCTTTTTGAGTTTGGTGCTCGGTCTTATATATTTTTCTGTATTTGTTTTCCTAGACTTTTGATCTTTAAAGTATTTGTTGAAGATAAACGTTTCGTACGCACGGAAATCGGTATAATTCCTTTTTATGAAATTGTTTAATAAGGAAAAGGGAGTAATGGGATGAACTCAACAATAAAAACTGTTTATTTTCTATTAACCACCTCTTTTCTTTTATTATGAAATGAATATTTCTGTAAAAGAATTTTTACTAATATATACTGAATATATTTTTAATATAATGCCCACTGCATACACCAAATATGGCAGTTTACACGTTCCAGGTTTAGAATGTGTGACACAGACATAAATTATTAGCAATTTATGTGACACCTGTATGATGTGCAAAACCCGATGCATAAAATTGATATTGTAGTATTATTACAGTTTGATTGCAGTAGTTGCATTTCCAAAGGGAAGACTGTGGTACAAATATATGGTTATCTGTATAGATCTGGTCCGGCAGTAGCACATAGCACGTCCTGAGGGACGTCCGTTTGGTTGTACGGGATGTATAAATACACAGCTTCGTCAAGTTGTAAGATAACTCTTGCATTACTTATTTGAGGTCGGTTCCTTGGGTGACCTACTGCAAGTCAGCATTCTTCCCCGTAACCCAAATTAGCGTATGTATACAGCGTTGGTCAGAATCAACATTACATCTAAACAGGAACATATATATTGATGTATATATATATAGATATACTGTTCCCAGATCTAAGTCGATCCACTCTGCGAAAAGGAGAGAAACCAATACGGGGTTCAAAATTAATAGAAACAGACTATTAAATGGTCAAAATATTATACAACACATAAAACAAAAGATTGAGCAATACAAATCCCTCCTATAACCATTGATGAACGCTGATCCCTCGGAAATGTAAACAGTTCCCTGTACACAGATATGGTCAGCAGAAACGCCAATTGAATCAAAACAGATTTAACCATTCAAATTGACGGAGAAAATGCCAATACAGACTTTCGATCGGCATAAGCCAAGTTTAATGTCATTGACAATATTTTTATTGTATGGACAGTTTTTTTTTATTGCAGTGAAAGTTTTTCACATACTAAATCCAATTAAAAAGTTACTTACCTGTAAATTTTTTTTATATTCTGTAAATTTCCAAAAATCTTTGCGATTTGTTTATTATTGCAAAATTTGCGACGGGATAGAATTAGCAAAAATATAAACTCGCATTATGAATTTCGATAGCACTAATTTATTTGTATGCAGCATTTCACGAAATCGTAAAAATTAATCTTGCATTAATTGCAATAATACATACACGCAAAAATTACTGAATTTATAGAAACTCTTATTTACAGCAACAGAGCAATAAATATGAGCTCTGGTATCGATGACTTCGGACAACCAAAATGGCAGCTTGTTATGTGCTTAATGTTAGCGTGGATAATATGCTTTTTGTGCCTATTGAAGGGTATTAAAACAACAGGAAAGGTAAGGACTTACAATGGTATTAAACGGCCGAAAACGTTTACATTGTTAAAAGGTAAATGTATTAAACATTGGAATGCAATTAACTTGAAAATGTATTGAACTACTGAAAACGTATGCACGTACAAAATTATTTATGAAATTTAAGTTTGTGTGCTTATGGACAAAAAATAGAGCGAACTATATAATTTTTAATCCCTGATTCATACAATACCTATCCTGCTACTTTCAATAGACTATAATGAAATAACAGCCAATGAACGTCTACATATTTGTATATAGCTCCCGTATTCTGTAATAAGAATGGTAAATGAAGTGAAGACCAAAGGGATGTTTGATAATCAATTGTTATTTCTTCTTCAACATTTTTTTCAGGTTGTATACTTCACAGCTATATTCCCGTTTGTTGTATTGATTATTTTATTTTTCCGTGGTGTAACACTGGATAATGCCGGTCAAGGTGTATATTATTTCATTGTTCCAGACTTCGAAAGGCTTTTAGACGCTCAGGTAAAGTTGTTACAAGAGATATGAATTTTTTAAATGTAATAATTTATGATTAATACAGATACTAAAACAGTGAATGTGTAAAGGGTTGAAGCGATACCAAATTCACAAGATATTCATCGCATTGTAAAATATCTTCAGGTACTAATGGAAGTATTTGTTACTTGATACGTACAGATGAAGAACATTTATAATGTTTGACCGTAAAAAGCGTATGATACCTATTTCAGTGTGCACGGTGTACGTGTTTCTGGAACAACCTTGATCTGACACGTGTGAGACTGGAATAACCTTGATCTGACACGTGTGAGACGAAACTTTAAGGAAGTCGTTTATGTAAAATTGTTTAGAGCATCCAAATCAAAGGGACTGAGCTGAACAACCAAAATTGTCGGAGTTCAATTTTATTGAGAAAGTCTCGTCCTAGAAATAGTGGATAAACTGAAAATATACAATCGAAATGTTCAATTAAAGCCAAGCAAGCGTCACAACTCGTCTGGTGTGTTATGCTGCTAAATTTGAAACTGACAATATTGATCAATTGAAATCGTCGAATTTATACTACATGTACATTGTACGGGGTTGAAATAATAAGGAGATTGGTAGCAGGTACGAATGGAAAATATGATGAAGATATAACAGAAAAATCTCCCTTGGAGTTAACCATATTTGTCATATTTCTGCTAGATGCTTCTCAATATTAAGTTTAACAAACCAAATTTAGTTGGTTGTTCCGTTAAGCCTTTTTATTTTGGCCTGACGTAGGCATGTCATTTCGATTGATTGATTGATTGATTGATTTGCGTTTAACGCCACTTTCAGTACTATTGGCTATTTCGTGGTGATCAGTTTTGATTGGTAGAGGAAGCTGGAGAGAACCACCGACCTTTGGCAGGAAAACGGACAATCTTTTAAGATTGAAGTATCTTCATTTTGAATAAATGCATAGATATGCAATGCTGTATGTGTATTATTGCTATAGAGGTATGACAATCTATTGCACTTTATCTTCAAGGTATGGAAAGATGCTGCTGTACAGATATTCTTTTCTATGTCTATTGCTGGAGGTGGATTAGTAACATTGTCTAGTTATAACAGATTCCATAATAACATACTCAAGTAAGAACAACTTTATAATCATTGGAATGTAGATAATTTATGTTCCCCCGTTTTTTGGCTTTGTTGGTTTTTGCTCTTTGTTGAAGACCTATAAGTTCTTATTTTTATATGAAAGGAATGTGAAGCCGGCTGGGCGGGCATGGAGAAAAGTGGATACCTAATTTGTGTAATCAATCCCTCCTACTTTTTTAAAACTAGATCCCTGAAACTTCCCAGAACTTTGAGCATATGTTGAAGTTGTGCACCTGCTATTATGGAATTGTTTGAGGAAATGTTTTCTCATGTTTCCAGACTTGAGAACCAAGTCTTTTTCAAATATTTAATTGTTCAGGATAGATCATTATCCGTTGTTTAAGAAACATTCTGCGCAACCCGGCCATTTGAGTCTTTGGTCTATTATTCCGAACTTATTGCCGGGGTTTGTGTGGCTAAAAGCTTTACTTTCAGTAATTACACATTGTATATGTAAGTTCTTCTTTGTTCACACAACTACTTCTTTGCTTCCAACTCGATAGTAGTCCAGTATAGAATCCTTGATTCCCGTTGGATGGCTAGGTATAGTTAGACTTCGCTTATAGTTATTATAGTATTGTCTTTTTGAAAAGAAATTTGTGCTTTTTGTTTTGTTTTTTGTTTTATATTTTAGATTAGGAGATCCCCGGAAATACATTTAATATTATTTATTTCAGGGATTCTTTAATAGTATGCGTAGGAGATACATTAACCTGTATTTTTGCTGGATTTGTGATTTTCTCTTTTCTGGGTTACATGGCTGGTCAAATGAACTTGCACGTGAAAGATGTTGCTAGAGATGGTAAATATAATTCCATCATTTCTGCATATTGTTACAAATTTTTCACCACAACTGTAATTAAGTTGTAGAGAAAAAGATGTTTTATCTTTGCCGTCATTCCTACGAACGTACAGATTGTTTAAAGAAATGTTTGAACCGGAGGAATACTGCAAAATAGCTTTACCCTTCAGTCACAGAAGTGCTTTCGCCAAATTTAGATGTGGTGTTGCTCCCCTAAGGATTGAAACAGGGAGATATGAAAATATTGTTTTAGAAATCAGAGTGTGCCATATATTTGACGGTTTTATTGAAGATGAAGCGCATGTTTTATTAAGATGTCCTCTTTATGACGATTTTAGAAACCATTTATTTTATGTTGCTGAAACTTTGAATGAAAATTTTAATACTTTAGATGATAAACAAAAGTTAGTGTTTTTATTCGCAGATGTAAATATGATTCGTGTGTGTGCCAAAACCTGTTATTTGATTTTAAAAAGGCGTAGAAATTTTATATATTGTAAATAATATTTTATTTCATATTGTTTAGTGTATTATATCTATGCATTTTAATAGTCTCTTATAATTCTGTATAGAATGGCTCTCATTTTATTTAGTATTGTTTTATAATGCATAAATATTGATTGTACTTGTTGAGAGATGAGACTTTAATCAAACAAAACATTGAATTCCTTCTCTCTGCTAACATTTTTTCTCTCATGGCTGTATTGTATAGTGTACAAGTATATTATTTGTGAATAAAAGGCGGTGTGTTAGGTGCAATACATAAGGCAATGATATGTAAAGCTTTCTTTTTGGTTTCATCGACTTATTGTAAGAGGCTATAACTATGTTGTGTTTTTAACAATAGTTACGCATTTCGTCTAGAATTTGTCGAATTAGATGAATTATTATCATTTTGATTAATAACAGTATATAGAAAACACAGCTGAAGTTTCAAGACTTATTTTCTTTTAACATTGTGCAAGATCCTGTATTTATTTACTGTTCGTGCTGTGGTATGATATCTGCACAGCCGATATAAGAGTGTGGGAATCCATATCTCATAATCAGCAGATTTCGAACTTTTGACTTGCTTTCAGTAAAATAAATAGAAGAGGCATCTGAGTTGCTTATGACGAGCAACACGACGGGTGACACTTGGGTTAGCCATTCCCTGTATGAAATATATTTATACTTTTAAAGAATCAAGGAACAAGTCGACGGGAACAGGAGTACCTTTGGTTGGGGATTCCCATAGCGACTTCAAGGACAAATGGAAATTTAAACCAGTGGTACCACCTTCGCACTCTAATTATCATCATGGTACAGAAAAGCCCATGTTAATGATTTGACCATGCCTCTTAGTATTTCAGTAGGAAAAACTATTGATTCCTCAAAAACTAGTTTATTAATAACTTATCCACATGATTATGTTCATGTACCTGGTTAGAAGTCACTTCAGTGTCTATTTCTATTTCTACATTCCAAGACATGGGTGCTTAAAAAAACCCGCTTAAAAACTAAAACTTAGGCAAAACATTATACCATCAAACTGGAAGCGATAGTTGGTGATCCCAAAGCAGGCAATTGTCTAGGGGTTAAATCCAGTATTAAGTGCAATAATGCCACACAAAAGAAAAAAACAATGACAGTTTCAGAGCACAGCACACACTGGAAATTTTTCTCTCTGTAATTATTCTTCAGTTATAAGTTTAAAAACCTGCTTACATACATGTATAACTATATTAAACTTTGTCTGATATAAATATATATTTCAGGTGCAGGCCTTGCATTTGTGGTTTACCCTGAGGCAGTCACCAGTATGCCAGGAGCGCCGTTTTGGTCCATTTTATTTTTCTTAATGCTGATTACATTAGGGCTTGACAGTCAGGTAATTTTAAAAAAAAGTATGATTTAGCTGTTTTCACTCTTTAGTTTGATATACTCGCTGTGAAAAGGAGCGCTTACAAAACTTTCTCTAAAATTATTTAAATACAACGAAAGTTTATGAAGCTGACCTAATTGCATCTGTGTTATTCTTCATTTTAAGTTTAAGGGGATCCATGCGATTGAAATAGTCAAAAATTTAATTCAATCAGCGGGATGATAATCTATTACATAACGGAGCATGAATTTTATTCAGACGTACAAAAGGTAAATTGCGCTCAAAAAGTTTTAAATGACGACTTCTTATGAATGGGTTAAAAATTTAACCATATTCGATTTTTGCAAAAACTATGACACAACAAAACATGTAAAGTAATTCGAAAGGTTTTTTCGTTGCACCATATGTAACGATGCTAAAAAACTAAAATTTCTTTCACGGATACATAGAATATTTTGCTGACCATGCGATTTCTTGACGAATAATAACGAAACATTATTGAGGCTACAATGGAAATTATGTGCTTTCACATTCACTCTTGCTGTATAACAAATCAGTATTACTTGTGAAATGTTTAATGCATTTTGTCACATTTTATATTTTGTCTGTTGATGGCGTAGCAAAACGAAGCAAGAGTTGAACCCTATGTATTTTCACATAAAACATAAAAATAACATTTACTCATTAAAATTATCATTTGAGAAACAAATTACTAAGATAATTGTCATTATGTTGCATTCATTTTTTGTCAAAGAATTGCCATCTGAATTTTTTTTCTCGCAAAATAAAGAGAATGGTAAGTAATGTAGGTATAAATCTGAGTGAATTGTGTCGCGTCTTGAATTTTTTTAGGATGATAACAGAAGGCAATTTTTCTCTTACGATCATAAGTTGTTGTAAAGTATAGATCAGAGAAAGTCCGGAATAATTAATCTATAAACAGCATTCAAGTCTTTATGAAAATAAAATAATTGTATAGTTATAATGTTTTATTGTTTGTCTATTTCAGTTTGCCATGTTAGAAACTGTCCTGACAGGTGTGACTGACCAATGGCCACACTTAAGACAACATAAAACAATAGTTATACTCCTCATTTGTTCTCTCTTTTTTCTTGTCGGTCTTCCACTCACATGTCCGGTAAGAATTCTCTAATTTCTTAATATATAAGCTTCTTATACTTAACATAACATATCAAAAAATGTATAAGTGAATTGTTTATGGATGAATGGATATGGTAACAATTCAAATTTTTCGGCAGTATTTTTTTTTGAATTAGTAACTATATATTCTTATTTCATGGTACATTATTTAATATCAAAAAGGAAACTGACATATATAACTCGTATATTGTGTTCATTTTTGTTCATTTTTGTAGCTGAGGAATTATGTATTAATGAAAACTGTGGGACAAATTATGCATTAAAAACTGTTCTGTAAGGGAAATATACAAGATAATTGAAAAATGAATGAAAATATATCGATACAAAAGTACATGTATATATAATATAAGACCTGTTTTCTTTTCAATTTCATGCATAGTGCAAAAAGGTAATATTCTTTACAATAATTTTCTATTTTTTGTTATTTTCCGTTTTCTGTTTGAATGCAATTAAAATCGATTATGTGTACAATTTCGAGGACTGAAATATTTTTTTTCTTTTGCAGGGTGGTATATATCTCTTGCAAATACTAGATAATTATGTAGGAGGTTGGACTTTATTATTAATAGGTTTTGCAGAATGTATGTGCCTTACATATGCATATGGTGAGTACATAATACTACATTAATCATGTTAATCATGATAATGTATAACAACTATCAGTACAAGAGTTATCGACTCGAACTATCATGGATCTCATACGGCCAATGACTTATAATCAAATACTTAAATGACCAGAGGCAGATTTAGTTGGATAGGGAGCTTGGGCCCCCTTATGGTACTACATATATGGTTAATGCACAGAATATTTGCATGTCCCACTCCAAACGCTGCCTAATGTGTGGGCCGCCCCTTTCAAAATCCTGGATCCGTATCTGATGACACTATCAATGTTTTTGGTTGTAACTCTTGTTTTGTTCATTCAATTTTACGCATATGTTTTTGACTGTCTGTAAAACAAACTAATGCTAGCACCTCTTACCGTGCAATGTTAAGTAATTGTTTATCAGTAGCCTAGTAATATGATTTTATATATAAGCAGATTTGCGCAAAGGGGTTAAAGAAACAGACCTCTCAATTTACTTTGTGTGAATTTTATATGATTGATTGTTTGATGTTTGCTTAACTTTAAGCGGCAAATATCAGTACAACCTATGCCGAGGAGACGTTCGCTTGTCTGTACCGGATGTATTAATACGAAGCCACGTCAGATCGGAATGGGGACGTTAAATCCGGTGCCTCGTGTTGGGAGAGATGCAAAATCTCTGCATAGCTAAGACCACTTGCAACTCATTTTTAGGAATAAGTAGATTACCTGCGTGTGCGAGGTAAACTTGACTATCCAAAATATCCTTTTCAGTGGAAGTTTAAATTTCCAGCCCTTCATCGCGGTCGACCTACTTTGCATAACCTATATCTATATTAATTAGATTTATTAATAAAATGTTATTACCCTGAATATGCATGAATAAGAGTCCAGGTTACCATATGGTTAGCGTTGAAGAGCTTATATAACAGAAAAGTACCCATAAAAAGGCAGAATCATGCTGGGAATTAGATCTTTGCACGAGGGAGATACATTTGTTAATTTTGAATTATCTAAGTTCTATAAAAGCAAATTTCACTTAAATAATAACCGTATTTCCATGCCAGTACCGAAGTACTCTCGAGGACTAATAGTCCACCATCAGAGGTATCGAACAAGTTGTAGTTATAACATTATACGGTACCAAATTTACTGCAGCTGATGCTAATTTCGAAAATTAATGTCTCTTTCAATATGTGCTGCTCAAGGCCAAAATAGTTGAAAATCCGAATCCTAATGCAAAAGTTGAAGAGCTGATATATAGCCAAAAAAGGTCCAAAGTATAAGCAAACCTATAATGAGGTATTGAAGGGGTTTGCCTATGAATAGTTATCTAATGAATGAAAACTCTATGATAGTGTACATGTGAGACCATCCATTTTAAAGATGGAACACTACTCTTATGTCAAATTTTATGATTTTATCTTAGGTGTAAATAGATTCATGAAAGATATTGAAGTAATGCTGGGATTCAAGATATGGCTTGTGTGGAAAATATTATGGATGATCATAAGTCCCTTAGTTTTACTGGTAGGTACACTTCTTGTCACAGAAAAGTTCAGTCAAGCAAGAGAGATTTTACTAAACTTCATCTTACTTTATAAATGTGTACAGACTCTTGTAGTATGACTACAAATATGCATGTATAACATATATCTGCAATGCATGGTGTCGTTTGTGTCAGGAGATGCCAAATAAAATTTAACTGATTACTTTTAAATGGGCTGTTCTACTGAGTGATGAAAGTAATAAATTAATTCGTTAACTCGTTTTTACCAAAAGACATCCGTTGAACAAATTACAAAAACGTAAAGCGATATATTTGTTTTCTATATTTTGAGTAATTAACTAAAAAGCAACACAGCCACTTTTCTTTCTATTAATTTCCACAAAATATGAGAAAAACCATGCAATGATTGATTCCATTACTCATGGGAACCTGTTTATTTTAGTAGTGCAAAATACAGAAAAGCTTGTTTTCTCTTTTTTTCAGTTTATTTTCGTTTTTACATTTGTTGACTATGAATCGTCAACGTATGGTGACTATAAGTTTCCTGGATGGGCTGATGGTATAGGATGGTTTCTTGCTGTTATGATGGTTATCCCTATACCTATTGTTATATTGTACAAAATTGGCTATGCTGATTCCTACTTATCAGTTAGGGAGGTATGTACACACTGCACACTTGAATCAATGTAGTATGAATAAATTTATCATTCGGAATTTTTATCAGTAAAAACATTTTTATGAGAATCTATCGCAAAAACGTATGCAAAAAGAAATTTTACTGAAATTGCACTTAATACTGTACAAACAGGTAAAATAAAACTATACTGCTCAAATTTTACGGCTAGAATAAAAAACGATGTCGTTTTACGTAAATGAGACAGCAACCCCACGAAAAAAATAAACAACCGATATCAAGAGCCTTTAGTTTTTAGCCCTATTAACTAGTAAACGAATTTTAGCATAATTTTTACCTTAACATCATCTGAACAGCTAAACAAAACAAAAAATTATTAAGCCATGTTCAGTCTTTCAGTCAATTTTCAGATTAATTGACTGCGGTTAATTCAGTACTGTTCAGACGACTCGCTTGCGGTCAATTCAGTACTGTTCAGTAGCTTTTTAGATAATGCAGTATGCTTTTGATCTGTACAGGTAAATAACAACTACTAATCAGTCTGAACATAGATTGAACAGATCGTAATTGACTGCAAGAGAATGATCTGAACAGTACTGAATTGACTGCAGTGGATAAGTCTGAAAATGACTTAACAATTAATTGTTCAGTTTTAAGAGCCGTTCAGATCAAAATGACCGTTTCAAACTGAAATTCGTTTACTAGTTATGGTAATGACTATCGAACACAATAGTTGACAGCAAAACACTTAATTTTTAGTCGCACGTGTTATTGTATGTTTAACGGAAATGAACCTCAGGGTATAAGAAGGTGCATTATAAATGGAAAAGGGTGTAGTAAATAGTATTCTATCGTATATTTCCTCATTTTGTTTTAGAAATTAAGTATGTTGACTTCACCTTCTGATGAGTGGGGTCCTGCACTAGTTAAGCATCGCAAATTGGTGACCTATGTGGATGATTGGGTATTAGACCCCTGGGCAGAAAGAGGGGCTTATCTGAACAAAGGATATAGTACACCAACTACCTATGCATCGTCTAGGGTAAGTTACATTTAGTTTTCAGAATTAACGCATTAAGAAACTAACTTTTTGGCTATAAAGCTCTTCAAATAGTCAAGTATTTATACATCATTGGCTTTAAGATTGTAGTTTTGATTGTTTCTGTTGACAGCACTTTGGACGCACAAAATTTTTCAGATGCATTTTTTCATAAAACAGCGAACATCCAATGATTTATAACAACATACTTTCTTGTGATTGCGTGTGCTTTTAAAACATTTCTTTGGATGTAAAATTACCTATGTATGGTAAATAACTTATGTTAAATAATATATTTCAGAAAAGATAGCATAAAGATAAAACAAATTGATATTTTATGTACGAACGTTTTTCACTGCAGTTGTTCTTATCTTACTCTGATCACTGTGTGTGTTCATTTTAATATAACAACATCTGTAATTAGAAGAAAGAAACCCAACTTGTAATAATTAACCATTAGAAGACGTCCAGTTTTAATCTTATAGCATTTCATTTACAAAATCCAGATATTAGTTGCTTTTGCTTGATAATTGCAAAAAACCAAAGAAACATTATACTGTAATCACATCGTTTGAAGTTGTACAAAACCCAGCTCATTTACTTAACTTACGATATTAAAGACATGATGTAATAATATAATTAATTCTACTCAAATGAGTACCGGTGAAGAAGTGTGGATGTCCAAGTATGTTCATGTCGATTTTTTTTTAAACTGATACAGAAGGAAGATACTTGGATATTATTTACTTCACACACTTTGAGCTATGAACGTACTAGCTAAATTTTAATCCGAAAAGCCTGATCTTCTACGGTTAATGGTATTTACATCCTTATTATACTCAAGTCATTCATAACTATGTCATTTTGTTTTTATGGACAACTTTATTGGGATATATTTTCACGCGATCACATGACATTATATCTTCTCCTTACAGGCATCCAGCATTTATTCTATACCTGGTTTCAAAGCAAAGTCAACAGGAGAGTTATCAGAGGCTGGTATTTCTAGAATTACTTCATTAACTTTTGAATCGACAGTATGATAGTTTCAGCATTGCACTCATGTTACCCACTATTGTACATCGTAAAGTATAACATTGCTGCTGGGAATGTGGCACAGAAAGACGTATTGTTACTGGTCGTTCTTGTCTAATAATCAATCAAATATCAGAATCCATGACATAGAAATGATCGTATAAGCTTAACCCGAATAATTCAGTCGTTATATTCCGCTGATCTACGATTACTTCATTAACGCCTGAATGCATAGACACTAAAAACATCTTCAATCAATCAATCGGAATTAGCTCGGGATTAACCTAACTCGATAAAATTGAGCTCTACTACAGTGCACCAATCAAAATTCAGGATTCGTGAAGAGTTTTTATCGTGTTAGGAATTCAGGCCCTCGCAAGTAGGAGAGATCAATTACGGGGAGGGACTGAATTATTCGGGTTAGTATAAGCTCTCCTTTAAAATGAAATTCATTGTCAATGTGTAACATTCTGCAATTCAATTTGACTAATATCTTTTGATATCAATATATGATTTTAAACATGTAACATGAGACTGTGTTTATATGTATTTATAGTCTGTACAGTTTTATTTGATTTATTTCAGGAAACCTTAAATTATTATGTACTTTGTATTGAAGAAAGGATGCATAATGTTAACTTTCGTAGCTTAGCATTTTTTTTTAAACTTATGACACTACTTAAATTTTAACTTCTTTTTCAAAATCCCGGTGTAATATAGAAGATTGGACTATATATTCAAATGGGGGAGTATTTGTTCCTTTTACTTTTTTCATTTTTAGAATAATATTTTGATATTTTCAAATGTGTTTCCATGTTTCGTTTTATATAAAGTTGATTTGCGACATCTTTTTTTTCTCGTTGATGAATTCTGTTCTAACAGATTTTACTGTGAGCTTTTTGTTTGTTTTTTTGTTGATTTTTTTAATATTTTAGGTTTTTTATCTTTATTTTTTAAATCGCCAAATAACTGCTGAATAACAATTCGAATCTGAAATACATGATTCTTTTACATGAATTCATGCCACTTGATATGTAATATAGACAAAAATAACCCATGTGATTACAATCGGAACCTTTTATATATACATGAATGTATTAACACTATTGTCATATGCAATTATATGAAATGATTTTTATATTAAAAAATGAATAATGTCTTATTGTAATTTAAATATGACGTGTACAAATTTGGTAGATTGACCAGTTATTTTAATTAACTATTGAACACTGCTTCAGTTCTGAGAGGGCTGAACAATTTCACGATAGATCGAAGTATCTCAGAATATTCGTGACGTGTTGCTCTGTTTCTTGTGATTAACATGATTTCCAATGGTTTCAGTGGGGTTTTTTTTAATGGTATACACGTATCTAACAAGGATCTAACTCTTGCTGGGTTCGTGTTGCCTGGTCTTTAGTTTTCTATGCGTAGTGTTATTTAAACTTTTGTTTGTCTTTGATTTCGGCGTTTATTCTTTTTGGCCATAGACTTATGGTTTTTAATTGTTCCCTTGGTATCGTCTGCTTCGATTTAGACGTCAATTGTTATGTCAAAGGATTCAATGCGGCAAACTTAAAACTTATGAAGTTATTTCTAAATGGCGGGAAGTGTAAAAAGTTCTATTTACAATCGCATCATTTTAAAACAAGACTTAAGAATATGAAGAGTCCAGTCAATATAAACCCTGTCAAAACAAAACTTTGCGGAAGTTCAATGACGACAACTTACTACATAAATTTATATGTAAATTGCCATAAGAATGCCAGGAAAGAGCATATTAAAACGTGCTGACAGGGTTTTTATGTCTCTTCAATTATACATGTAATAGTATTGCCTGCTATCGTTTGTCTTAATAACTGGTAGCTAACAAGTAAAGAACTAGAAATTTTTGTTTGGCTCTGCTTGTTTAAATGACCAGTGTGACCGGACTGTATTTATTTGGCATCCTTGAAAAAAACCTTGATCAGACTATTTTTTAAATACCGATTAAACTGGACCCAAATTTATCATCAACACTTATTCTCAGAGTATGCATTTTCAGAATTCGGTCAGATCATCCCTTTGACAAACAACCATGACCCCTTATACCATAAATTGAATAAAAGATAATCATAATTTGATGTTTTCATAGGACGATCAAATATGGGGTAAAAAGTCACTTGGTTATCTCCTTTCTAGAGTTGTGTTGGATAGCCACTGTCATAGACATTTGTTTCAATTTCATTTTTCAATTCTGGTTTTGTAATGCATTGAAACTATATGGAACTAGTGGCATGAATATAGTTGACGATCAAATTAACATAAAAAAAAAACCTGATAGACATAGTATGTGGCAGCACTACTTCATGTGTTTTTTTTTATGAAAATATTTTGGAATTATATTCTATACTTCTTCTCCACTAAGATTACCATGCAGTCAAACCAAAAAGTTACTAGTACAGTTGATGAAGAACAGTTTGGCATATTTTGCTATTTTTGGCAATATCGACTAAATGGTAGACTTTTATATTTAAACTACCTCTGCATCCAATATTGTTTACAGTTTGTTTAAAATATCACTGGAAAAGCACTTAAAAACATCCATTAAGGAGCATCTTCGCCAAATCGTTCATACTGTTTCTAATCCAAAATTATGTATGTGATGATGCTACTTACACTTGGAGGACCTACTTTTTCACTATTTGTCATGAAATATACTATTAGTCAGTTTTATGTATGAAACATCAGTAGAAAGTTGCATGCTTTTGGAGCCAATAGTTGTGAAAATATTTAAACTTTCAGTTTGTGATTTATTAAAAATTTTAATACATTTTCACAATGTACTGACGCTTCTGTAAGGACCATTAAATCATTATTAGAAAAGAGAGAGAAATAGTCTCTTTTTATGAACTGTATACTGTTTTGAACCTTGTTCCTGTATGAAACCGACTTGACCCGTTTTCAGCATTTCCTTAACCATGAACAGAAGGTAGTAAAATTACACCCTCTTTTTAATGATTTACATGTTAAAACGATGAAGCTAAATGTTATGTTTTATGCGTTCACCTTTAAGTAGTAATAAAAAGGTTTCATGTCTGATTTATGAAACATATTTAATAGATAACTTAATTTCAAACAACAAATTCATAAATGCATTTCAGTCGGAAGCAATTAAATCGATATTGTGCATGCATAAAAATGCTTTAAGGCAAATAAATATTCCTGTTTTATATATTTATAATCACACGAACAGACGAAAATCCACCATATCCCCGTGATACATGAATTACCAACATCAGAATAAAACCTACATACAAAGCCCTATACACAGTTTCTTCTACAAATTCCATTCTTTAGTTTAAGGGGCAAAATTAATATTAAATAGAAAGTATACTAGGTGAATATTATGATATAGTTGTTTGTGTAGGAAAAGACTTTAGTTACTGCCGATTGGATATGATGTTGCTTCACAATTCACATATTGGTTTGTCAATTATATAAATGTTGGCAATAAGTTATCATAGCTGTTACTTCGAAATGGCTCAATCCCGTTTTTTAAAGAACATTTTCAGAATATCGCAACAGCTGTTGTATGCTTTGGCAGAGTGTTTGTTACTTCTTAAGAATGAAATGTTTACAATAGTTCTAAAAAAATATCATCGCAATTGTCCAAGATTACTGAATTGCCCATCTTTGTCCATTTAATTTCTAACCACAAAGAACCGTACATCGTTTTCATAATTATAAGTTCCTTCTCTGACGTTATTTTCTCTCACTCCCTAATACTAAAAACAAGGACATACGCAATTCATATTAAAGTGAAAATTAAGGATTTAACAATTTGTTTCGTCTTTCCGTATATTTTGGTGGTATAAATTTTACTTCTGACGATAACCAACACCAGTCGTTCAGAAGAGAAACATAATGGGTACAGTTGAAATGTCGAATACATGTATTTGGTAAAACTGAATGGAAAAACATTCAGTGGCAAATTCACATGCATATCCTGGGCAAGTGAGCATTAATCAATTAATCAATGTTCAAGGTTCTGCAAAAACGGATTACGGGTGATTAAAAGCGGGAACTAAATGAGTGGAACAAAAATTATATTGTTATAAAAACACACATTTTGCTTTAGTACTAAAGTCACCTTAAAATTCTAGATTTATTACCATAGACTATCTTAACATGTGGCATCAAATTGTATGCCCACATTCCTACTGGACGTTGCGAACCACCGGATGGAAGAGTCGCTATTACTATATTTATAAATATACCCCAGTACACCTTGGAGTAGTTCAATCAATATACTATCGACCAAAAGATCCCGATTTTCAGTCTTTGATGTATTTGTATATATGAATTGTTGCTATTGTATTTACAAAGTCTCTTCTCGACATCAGAAAAAAATATTATCTGCGTTTGCAGTTGTCGTTGAACAACCCCTGGATTAAGAGACAAACTTAAACGAACAGTATACAAATACGCGAACAAACGTTTACAGGTATATTTGAAAGAACGTTTACGTTAATATGTGTTGTGATCCCCATTTGAGTGTAACACAATCGTCATCCATGCATTGATTTAGCAATAATGAATCAACTTAAATGCTTGATTCGAGCCTAGTATATTTTTGTCACCTCTACTGATGTGTCTGCTATAGTCACTCGGTGTCGACCTCTACTGATGTGTCTGCTATAGTCGCTCAGTATGTCACTGTTTCTACTGGTGTATCTGCTATAGTCTCTAAGTATGTCAATTCCTCTACTGATGTTTCTGCTATAGTTTCTCAGTATGTCACTACCTCTACTGATGTGTCTGCTATAGTTGCTCAGTATGCCACTGCCTCTACTGATGTTTATGCTTTAGTCTCTCAGTATGTCACTACCTCTACTGATGTTTCTGCTATAGTTTCTCAGTATGTCACTACCTCTACTGATGTGTTTGCTATAGTCACTCAATATGTCACTGGGTTTCTTGACGTTGGCGTATGTGCAGATTCAATCAATCTTATAAACGTTAAATCGGATTTAAATCCGTTGATCTGAATGGCCAGGGTTACAAGGTTATACTTTAAATCGCAAGATACTATTAGTCCGAAGCACATGTAATAAGTGACCGGTTGTTTTCATGCTGTAACCATCTCCTTCCGCATGCAGAAGGTTGAAGGATTGCATTTCAATACTACAAAGCAGTTTAAAAAATTGTACATGGTGTGAACAGACTTTGTTCTTAAGTTGTAGGGTGTGCTTTCCCACCCAATGAACTGCATGCCTTTGCGGAATCTGTGATCTTCTATACCTATATATCACACAGTTGCTAGAAAATTTTGACGTCTGTAAGCGCGAGTGTGTCCAACTCGACATTGAAGCGTAAGATTAGATTCATCACTGAACCAAACGCCTCGACACTATATAAAAATATATCATGTGTACTGTGTTGCACCATCTAAGTATTATTTGAGACTTTACTTAAAAAATTATGAAACAAATCCAGATACCAAAACAAATAGTGAAATGGCAAAAAAAAAACCACTTTTAACTTCTTTCATTTCTGAAAGTGAGTGAAGAATCAATACAGCAAACGTGTTACATATATTTTCCATAATAACCCAATAACGAACCAAAAAGCAAGTACCGAAAAAAAGTTGATAAAGATGGAAGTGAGACATGTCTATGTTAGCTTTACTATGTAAACATCAGAAGAAAGCTATTTTAGACATGATGACGAGCAGATTCGAAATTAATTATCTTAGATCTGAAACCAAGTGTGCAGCAAAATACATAATTTATTTTCAATTTGGTGGGTGATTCAAATTACAGAGTGCTATTAACGTTAGAGAACAGCAGGATATTATGATATGGGTAACATTCAGTTATTAATCAGTATCTGATTTTCCGTTTGATTCGTTAGTGTGAACGGAACTATTTAACTAAATGGTTACATCACTTTATCTAGAGATAATTGTATTAATTAATCTACAGGGAGTGAAAAGTAAAATTTGACAAGCTATTGCCAGGTAGGAATGTTTAATTATTTTTCTTGCATTTCTCCTTAATGGATTCATCACAGCACAATAAGCATGTTTCGAATCCAAAATCAGATTTTGAAATCGGCTATACATTATAAAGATAAATTTCTGTGGCGCATCTTCACACATAAAACACACAAAAGCTTAGCACTTGTTTGAAGTATGCATTTATCTGATTATTTTGATCAGTACAGCTGGCAGACGATACAAAATCTCGTGCATCGATACTATCTATGTTGAAAGGTAAGAAAAGTTTGTTTACTTAAGGTTTTATGCACGCTATATTTCTGTTTTTCGTACCTATAATGATGAAGAACATTTGTTAATTGACCTTTCAGCAGAACTGTTTCTTCATTTGTTACATATTACAAATTCCACTGTACGTACCAATTAGACACAAACGACGGTATCAAACGTATTTGACATAATAGTATAAGATAAAAGATGACAGTACTGTAATTTGCAATATATGAATTTTATTATTATTTATTCTGATTATTTTTGACTCCAAACGCATTGGAATGGAATTGGTAGTTTTCGTTAAAAAAAAATAATGGATCTTAATTTGTCCCCCTATTCATTCCGTCTCGTGACTAGTAAATGATTATATTTCAGTGCACAAAATACATTTGTATCAGATATCTCTAGTATTTAATGCAGTGTCATAACGGTACTGTAGGACTATCGCCGTCAACTAGAACAGCTTCGGTGTATTGAATTATATATATATAATGGAAACAAAAATATTCTAGATATATATAAATATATAGTTAATAGTATAGTAAATACTAACCTTTACGTTTGTTCTGGGGAAATACAGCAACCAACCAAAGACCACAATCTGTAAGACTGGTGTAGAAGGTCAATTTAACAAGAATGACATCTTTTTTAGATGAATTTTACATCATTTCATTAAAACGAGTTTTGAACACAACACAAATCTACTATAGAGCATTATGTATTCACCCATTTTTAGTGAAAAAGTAATGGGCGACTTTATAATAAGTTTCATGAGGATTATGATCAAACTGCTTTTTAGCTCACCTGGCCCGAAGGGCCAAGTGAGCTTTTCTCATCACTTTGCGTCCGTCGTCCGTCGTCGTCGTCGTCGTCGTCGTCGTCCGGCGTCGTCTGTTAACTTTTACAAAAATCTTCTCCTCTGAAACTACTGGGTCAAATTTAACCAAACTTGGTCACAATCATCATTGGGCTATCTAGTTTAAAAAATGTGTACGGTGATTCCGTCAACCAACCAAGATGGCCGCCATGGCTAAAAATAGAACATAGGGGTAAAATGTAGATTTTGGCTTATATCTCTGAAACCAAAGCATTTAGAGCAAATCTGACATGGAGTAAAATTGTTTATCAGGTCAAGATCTATCTGCCCTGAAATTTTCAGATGAATCTGACAACCCGTTGTTGGGTTGCTGCCCCTGAATTGGTAATTTTAAGGAAATTTTGCAGTTTTTGGTTATTATCTTGAATATTATTATAGATAGAGATAAACTGCAAACAGCAATAATGTTCAGCAAAGTAAGATCTACAAATAAGTTGTCATGACCAAAATGGTTATTTGACCCCTTAAGGAGTTATTGCCCTTTATAGTCAATTTTTAACCATTTTTCGTAAATTTTGTAATCTTTTACAAAAATCTTATCCTCTGAAACTACTTGGCCAAATTTAACCAAACTTACCCACAATCATCATTGGGGTATCTTGTTTAAAAAATGTGTCCAGTGACCCGGCCAACCAACCAAGATGACCGCCATGGCTAAAAATAGAACATAGGGGTAAAATGTAGATTTTGGCTTATATATCTGAAACCAAAGCATTTAGAGCAAATCTGACAGGAGTAAAATTGTTTATCAGGTCAAGATCTATCTGCCCTGAAATTTTCAGATGAATCGGACAACCCTTTGTTGGGTTGCTGCCCCTGAATTGGTAATTTTAAGGAAATTTTGCAGTTTTTGGTTATTATCTTGAATATTATTATAGATAGAGATAAACTGTAAACAGCAATAATGTTCAGCAAAGTAAGATCTACAAATAAGTTGTCATGACCAAAATGGTTATTTGACCCCTTAAGGAGTTATTGCCCTTTATAGTCAATTTTTAACCATTTTTCGTAAATTTTTGTAATCTTTTACAAGAATCCTCTCCTCTGAAACTACTTGGCCAAATTTAACCAAACTTGGCCACAATCATCATTGGAGTATCTAGTTTAAAAAATGTGTCCAGTGACCCGGCCAACCAACCAAGATGGCCGCCATGGCTATAAATAGAACATAGGGGTAACATGTAGATTTTGGCTTATATATCTGAAACCAAAACTTAGAGCAAATCTGACACGGGGTAAAATTGTTTATCAGGTCAAGATCTATCTGCCCTGAAATTTTCAGATGAATCGGACAAGCCGTTGTTGGGTTGCTGCCCCTGATTTGGTAATTTTAAGAAAATTTTGCAGTTTTTGGTTATTATCTTGAATATTATTATAGATAGAGATAAACTGTAAACAGCAATAATGTTCAGCAAAGTAAGATCTACAAATAAGTCAAATGATCAAAATTGTCAATTGTCCCCTTAAGGAGTTATTGCCCTTTATAGTCAATTTTTTACAATTTTCATAAATTTTGTAAATTTTTGTAAATTTTTACATAATATTTTCCACTGTAACTACTGGGCCAAGTTCATTATAGATAGAGATAATAGTAAGGAGCAAGAATGTTCAGTAAAGTAAGATCTACAAACACATCACCATCAGCGAAACACAATCTTGTCATGAATCCATCTGTGTCCTTTGTTTGATATGCACATAGACCAAGGTGAGCGACACAGGCTCTTTAGAGCCTCTAGTTAATATATAACGTCCATAAATCTAGATTTGCGGTATTTTCGATTATTATTAGAGCATTTGCATGTATTAATATTAGGGAATCGATCAAAAAGTGCATATACTTCTTCTGTCTATGTGGGTTATTGAAACGTTACAGAGTACAATATGTATCATTTAACTTATGTACTTATTTAAACTTCAAGCCAATAAAAATCTACAGCTGATTTCAATAATGCCGATACTGTGAACGTCGTTGCGTATAATATTATATTGATAAGATCGAAAAACAAGGCAATATATCTGAATTAATAGAGTTGCATGTGATTTTATTGGTAGTATATTTTTGAAACAATCGTAGTTTCGTATTTCACAGATGTTCAGTATGTATTAGTTTTTATATCAAAACTTCAACGTAGTCGTGATTATTATTCTTTGATTCGTGGTTTATTAAGAATAAGTCTTTGATCATTGTCTTTATAAGTTTTCCTATTTTCATTTATACTTCTCATAAATGTAAGACGCCATCGACTGGTGAAGTCTATTGCACATTGAAATTAAGGATACTATGTGGATGTATATATATTGGGCAAAAATTCAAGATATACCAATTAATAATCATAAACCAATGAAATAATGGCTATGTAGCTGCTCTTCGTCTTGGTGTTCAGCGGGCTAATGTCACGAGTTTACTAAAAAAATAGCTTGTTTGGTTAGGAATGTGATTTGATTATGATGGTTGATTAAAATTTAGTTCGTTAATTTTTTTTTAATTTCACTGAAGACATATTGTCTTCTAGAGATATAAGCGAAAGTCATTTATATATACTATTAACTGATAACACTATTGGTTCTTAGTAAATTAAACACACTTTCGAATGTGACGATAATAATCCTCTTTTGATTATGTCCTTGTATAATTTTGTGTATTTTGCATCATATCCCTATTTAGTTACAATCAAACTGACAATCATTGGAATCCAATGAACTTATAAGGAAAGAATTAACTTGAAACAAAAAGAGGACCATGCAGTCTCCCTTTATGGGATAGCAGACAAATCTTCGCTTTGGCAGTTAAAGAATAAGGAAATACTGGTTTCCCATCCCTCCTTGACGTGTGCACCATGTGCAAAGCAGTAAAGCACTAAAAGAGCCACGGTTGAATTCCCACAGCTGACCTAACTATAGATTGAAGATTATTACGTAACAAATACCGTACAGTATCGTTTCTTATACAATCACTCGGAGGCTGATGCATCCGTGCATTCAGTACTTATGTAGTAGATATATATTGATACACTTAAAAAAATATTGTTTGGCCTGGTAAAACAGGATTAGTTCCTCAAATATCATGATACATATAGCTGCTCTATTTTGTGTTTCTTGCATTTGTAAAGATGTTTTGGATGTTAAAGATCAGCGGCAACAAGGAAGGCATATGAATTTATAGTTTTTAATTAAGATATCCCATACATTCCTGTTCGAAAGTTAAGATTTTAGATTTTATATTGCCTTTTTATGCAAAATTAGTAAATACACTTTAAACTAATTACAATTGCTTCATATGTAATTTAAATGCGTTCACTTTAGAATTTGAAGTATTTCTGTTTCAATATATCCTTGTTATTTTGTGTATTATGCATCAATCAATATTTAGTTACAATCAAACTAATAATCTTTGGAATTCCATGAACTTGTAGGAAATGATTAACTCGAAACAAAAGAAGGACATGTCTCCCTTCATGTGATACCCAACCATGTATTTGCTTTGTAAGTTTAAGAATAAAGGAAATAGCCCATCCCTCTTTGACATGTGCACCATGTGCAAAGCAGTAAAGCACTTTAAGAGTCACGGTTGCATTCCCAAAGCTGACCTAACTATAGATTAAAGGTTGTTACGTAACAAATACCGTACAGTATCGTTGTATATACAATAATTCGAAGGCAGATGCACCGTTCATTCAGTATGTATGTAATAGATATATATTAATACACTAAGAAAATATAGTTTGGCCTGGTATTCTCAAAATCTCGTGATGGATGCTCTATTTTGTGTTTCTTGCATTTTTAATATTTTGAATGTTTAAGAACGACAAGAAACACTTCTGTGTTTTAAGTTTTAAATTAAGATATCCTATTAATTCTTGTTTGAAAGTTA